GTAGAATAGATTTTTAATAGTTCCATTAAAACATGTTTAACATTTCCACACTTAGTCATTGAAAAGATTAAGTAATAAAAGTTGCTTAAATTTGCACATTACTAGATTTTTTCAAAGATTTATTACTTAATGTCGAATAGTTAAATAGTTTTTTCATGTCGAATAGTTTCGGACATGAAAAATAATATGATTTAATATTATTTTTATTGGAAACCTCTCAGTATTATATTTTTTATAAACTGTAACATTTTTATAAAAATTATTTTTTGTATTAAAAATGTAGTCGTTAGAGAAAAAGAATCGTTATAGCTAAATATTAGAGCTACAATTTAGTTTTTCAAGAAGCGCATGTTAAATCATTATAACAAACTCTCTTAACTATTCTAGCATAGAATAGTTTAAGAAAATGAATATTTTGTGATATATAGGGTTTGTCCGAACTGCATTCGGGAGCAGAATATGCAGATAAAAATAAATAAAAACTTCGTCTAAATGTATGTCCTAAAATGCTTAGTTTCGGAGATACAGGGTGAATTTCTGAAGTAACGTCAATATTTGTATGAAAATTGATGTCTGGGATTTTTTTAACATGTTGAGTAGATAGTTATTTGACTAAAATAATTAATTTGGGAATTTTCTAATTTAATCATAAATTTCTCTTCAAGAAAGTGATGCAAAAACAGTTTCTGTTAAACTTTTGGCACAAAGAGATTTCAAATTTATGACTTTAGTCTAATAACTATTTAGTCAACATGTTTAATTTATTGTTAATGATGACAGGTATTGATAATTTCGATTCTAAATATCTCGAGAAGCATTACTCGTAGCGATTTTTACCAAGAGACCTTTTTTCCGTAAAAAACGTAGTAAATGTATATTTTTTTACTCTATAGTTTTATACAGGTACGGACAACAAGTTATTACTCTTCAAAATGGTTAAAATACACGTAGGTGGCGCCCTCTACAAGTAGGAGTCATATTGACATCAAAATCAAATTTCTCATGTCAAAAAATTCCCAGACACTAATTTTCATCCAAATATTGACGTTACTTCAGAAATTATTTGAAAAAAAATCGAAATAAAAATGAAACTTCTACACCCTGTATCCCCGAAACTAAGCATTTTAGGACATACATTTATAGGACCTTTTTACTTATTTTTATCTGCAGAATATGCTGCCGAAGTTTCCGGAATACAGTTCGGACCACCCTGTATAAAATATTTGATTTCTAAAATAAGTGTTTTTAATTGTTAATTTGTTATTGTTTAACATTTTACTTTAACTTAATTTTCTTATTTTGTTTGTTTTTAAATAAAACTATAGCTATAGTAAATGAATGGCGTTTAATTATCTCAATCAAGAGCGTCACTAGCGTTTGATCAGGACCATAAAATAATTAAAATATTGATATTAAGTAGTAACAATACAAATATGTACCGATCTTGTAGATTTAAATTCTCTGTAAAATTCGATGAATTTTTATACGAGGCATGTTTTTTAAGTAAGTACCGTTTTGCGATTCCGCCGCCGCAGCGCTACGGTCGGCGTTCCGCGCATGCGCGCTGGTTACCTACATCTCTTGTCTATGCACAGACGCCAGTACAGTCTGATTCTTCATTGTATACGTTGTTTATTGAGTGTTTAAGATGCCTCCGACAATCGTGAGCCCCGCTGATTGTGAAGTACGGGCTGTCATACGATTTCTTAGTGCTAAAGGCGTAAAACCGATCGATATTCATCGTGAGATCTGTGAAGTTTACGGACAAAACATTATGAGTGATGGAATGGTAAGAAAATGGGTGAGAGCATTTAAAGATGGCCGCACAAATGTGCATGATGAAGAACGGAGTGGGCGTCCTTCGGTCGTTAATGAAGATTTGGTGCAGAAAGTGGACGAAAAGGTGAAAGAAAACGACGCTTTACAATTTCATCATTGTGCGACTACTTTCCTCAATGTTCTCGTAGTGTTTTGTATCGCATTGTGACCGAGAACTTGAATTACCGGAAATTGTGTTCACGTTGGGTTCCGAAAATGTTGACGGATTTGCACAAAACCCAACGTTTAGGCAGTGCATTGACTTTCCTTGAGCAGTACCACAATGAAGGTCTATTTTTTAGACAAAATTGTTACTGGTGACGAAACATGGGTGGCCTACGTCACACCAGAATCGAAACAACAGTCCATGGAATGGCGACATTCATCATCACCCAAAACAGTGAAGTTTAAGCAAACAATTTCTGCCCGGAAAATCATGTGCACAGTTTTTTGCGCACGCCTACAATCTGCGCCGTGCAATCCAAAACAAAAGACGTGGCAAGTTGAGTAAGGGTATTGTTTTGCTGCATGACAATGCCCGTCCACATGTGGCTAATCGGACCAAAGATCTCATCAAATCTTTTAAATGGGAAACTCTGGATCATCCTCCATACAGCCCTGATTTGGCGCCCAGTGACTATCATTTATTCCTGCACTTGAAGAAACACCTGGGCGGTCAGCGTCTTCAAGACGATAACGAAGTCAAAACAGTTGTGATACAGTGGTTAACCAGTCAGGCGGCAGAATTTTATGAGGAGGGTATTGAAAAACTGGTGCCACGTTATGACAAGTGCCTCAATATTCACGGAAATTATGTAGAAAAGTAGATTAAGGTACAGGCTTTCATGTAAAAATAAAATGATTGCGATATCTTTGCACGTTTTTTTTAATTCCAGAACGGTACTTACTTAAAAAATATGCCTCGTACCAAACACTATATTTAAAATAACTTTTTTTTCAGAAAGAAATTATTTAAAATTTTTAGGTTTAAAAACTGTCAAAGAAAAGTTATACAGGGTTGTTCACCACATACGACACGGAGTATTGTAGGTAAACGATTAGAATTTTACAAATTGTATGTTTTGGGTTCGTTGAAGGACTATTAAAGCTACAATTTAAAAACATTTTTACACCCTGTATATTATTACATTTTTAGTTTCTACGATTAAAATAAAGGTAAATTTGATCAAGGTTTATCACATTTAAATCTTACCGTTTTTAAAATATTTTCAATTTTGTGAAATTGCAGTAAAAATTTTAAGGCTTCATTTCTCCAAGGGTATCAAAGTTTTTAATACTAAATATTTACTGAAGTTTATTTATTGATCAGTTAAAATAAAGCAAAATAAAACACTAAATTACCACAATACACCAAAACACTTTTACTTTTACACTGGACGCGCGTTTCGCTAACCATGTTAGCATCATCAGCAGATGATTATAAACTAAAAACATATATTGAGCTTACATCGTTATGTATGAAACAAAATTGTTTTCAATTTAATAACAACTTTTTTGAACAGCGGGAAGGTACAGCAATGGATAATCCATTGTCTCCATTTTTGGCTAATTTATTCATGAGCAGGTTTGAAATGGAGGCTAAGAATCGGTTTGAGTATTTTCCAAGAGTATGGTTTAGGTATGTGGATGATATTTTTGCTGTTTTTGACACACATTCAGACACCATAAATAATTTTATTTCTAAGTTAAATAATCGTTTTCCTTCCATTAAATTTACACATGAAATTGAGAACAACGACAGATTACCATTTCTAGGTGTATTAGTTATTAGAAATACTAATAATTGTCTGGAGTTTGATCTCTATAGGAAAAATACCACTACACGCAGATATATTCCTAATGAATCACATCATAGTATTGAACATAAAATGGCTAGTTTAAATTTCTTAGTTCATATATTACTTAGTTTTCCACTTTTCAACGAAAGATATGAAATAGAAAGAGATTACATTAGGAATGTAGCTGAGTGTAATGGATATTCTCCTTCACTAGTTGATAAAATAATTAGAAAACGTAGGTATAGGTTAATGATTTCTGAAAATTCGACTTTTCAAGTGGAGAAAGATACGTCAAAATATTTTTCAATACCGTTTGATAGACAGTTATCCCGTGGTCTAAAAAGGAATTTTTAAGAATGTCAATTATAAACTTGTGTATAGTGCTAATAATAAATTACAACAATTATTAGGTAATCCAAAGGATAAAACACCTCTACTGGAAAGGTCGGGTATTTATGAAATTTCTTGTAAAGATTATAATCAGAAATATGTTGGGCAAACTAGAAGATCAATATTAACTAGATTTAAAGAACATTTGGCTCGGATAAGATATGGTAGACCATGGTAGACCGGATAAATCTTGCGTTGCCGAACATATTGTTGATAAAGAACATTGTATAGATCTTAATAACTTGAAATTAATTAAACAAGTCTCAAATTACAGGCAATTAGATGCATATGAAAGCATCAGAATTAATAAATGTAAAGATAGTATGAACAGAGTCAACGGTCCGATTCCTTCAAGTTCTTTGTTCCTACTACTCTAGTGGCGGAAATCTAACTGTTACGCTCGGTGGGTTCTGACTCGGTTGGCTAGATCTTGCTACGCCCACTTTGTGCCCACTGAGCGAGTATATAAACGCTCCAATTGTAGATTGAATTTTAGTTTATAATCATCTGCTGATGATGCTAACATGGTTAGCGAAACGCGCGTCCAGTGTAAAAGTAAAAATGTTTTGGTGTGTTGTGGTGATTTAGTGTTTTATTTTGCTGTGTAACACCAAAGGTTCCAACCCTCAACTGTAATATTGATCAGTTATTGTGCTGCAATAATAAAAATAATACTAAAATGGTAATAAAAAATTGTATTATGGTATAATACAATTTGATAGACAATTAAATTGTGCATCTGATTCTTATAAAATATACTGGGTATTCCATTTAAATTAAACAAGTTATTGTCGTTTACAGCTTGTAATTGAAGACAGGAGTTGATAAAGATGTGGTAATGTCGCATTTTTTTAAAAATCAGTTTTATTTAATATTTCAACATCCCTTTGACAGATCTATCCTCCAATAGACTCTAAATATCAAATACCTTATGATCGAAAAAAAACGGCGTCCAGTTGGCTGGGAAATGACGATCAATGACATTTCCCATATAAAATGACAGCGATCTTCATTTCACAGCCATCGCTGACGCCGTTTATTTTCGATCATACGGTATAAATACCATAAAGAATATATTAAGTGATGTCACACCATCAATAATAATTTTGTGACGTGTTTTGTCGATTTACTCGAAACTTTACTCGAAGCAACATGACACCTTGATCAACTCATGTCTTCAATTATTTAAAATACATTTTTAGACACTCTTTAAGGTAGTATAGTTTAGTTTACTCTCTAGTAAATAGAAATACTTCAGTACAATATTTGGTTTTAAAAAAACAGAAGATATACAGATATATGTACATATGTTTCAAAAATACTATTTGTATATGTCATTGGCAGTAGTTACCTTTAAAGCAAGCCATCAAGTTATTATAATTCACTTTCTTCAAATGGAAACCCACTATTTTTATTTTATTAACGAAAAGGTTTCTTGTTCGCTATTTTTTGATATATCAAAGTAGTAGTTATTTCAATAACTTTCAAACTGATGATAAATGAGTAATATTTGTTCTTATTTATATATAGTTACCCCTGACATTAAAAGTTAACTAATGTCAGTTGTTTAAGTGCTTACATATGAAGTATTCAGTTTATTAAATTCTTCCAATTTGTACCCATTGGAATGAAGACTCCTGGACAGGTATTATAATAAACATAAAGTATTTAATTGTAATATGTTTGTTGATGATATTAATTTAGTTTCAGAACAAGAAACATCGAGATAGTTTGTGAGCCCGAAACAGTCCCACGGAAATTCAAATCAACGCCCAAATCCGGTGATTTAAGAGAATGCAAAATATGCCAAGAAAAAGTCGAGAACAACAAAATGAGAAATCACATGCGCATTCACAAGGAGAAAAGGTTCAAGTGCGAAACCTGCGGGAAAGCTTTTAAAGCAAACGAAGAACGTCTTAGGCATATCCGACACGTTCACGAGAAAATTCCTTACAAGACGAAAATGTGCGATATTTGCGGAAAAGTCACGACTAATTATCGTATGCACGTTAAGGTGAGTCACAGTTCGCGAACAGAGAAGAAAGAATATGTTTGTGAAAAATGTGGAACCGTTTTCAAGTCTCAGTATTTGCTGAAGAAACATTTAGGCCAAAATTCTCATAACGAGAGCAAAGTATTTCCTAAAAAACAGAAGAAACCTTTGAAAAGGGGGTTTTCATGTCCCGTCTGTAACAAAGTGATCACTACTAATGAAAGCTTACAGGTCCATATTCGAATTCACACAGGGGAGAAACCATTTGAGTGTTTGGAGTGCGGTAAATGTTTTATCAGTAAAGGGTATTTGAGAGCGCACGGTGTAGTCCATACTAAAGAAAAGCCTTACGTGTGCAAAATTTGCTCAAAAGGTTTTACTCAGAGAGGCACTTTGAAAGCTCATTTGGTCAAAAGACATCCCCATGACATATTGTAGTTATAGATATTTCTTTTTATTGTAATGTTTAATTGTTGCCTGTGATTTTTTCATATTTTATTTATTGTATATTTATAATTGAAAGATGTACTAAATATACATCTTTGTACAATTTGTAAAAAAAAATATTGATGATTAAATAATATATATTCAGTATAGTGCTAATAATAAATTACAACAATTATTAGGTAATCCAAAGGATAAAACACCTCTACTGGAAAGGTCGGGTATTTATGAAATTTCTTGTAAAGATTATAATCAGAAATATGTTGGGCAAACTAGAAGATCAATATTAACTAGATTTAAAGAACATTTGGCTCAGATAAGATATGGTAGACCATGGTAGACCGGATAAATCTTGCGTTGCCGAACATATTGTTGATAAAAAACATTGTATAGATCTTAATAACTTGAAATTAATTTTTTATTGCATATTTTGTATTGGAACATATTTCACATATTTTGTTCTACATATTTTGGGCAACAAAATGTCCTAAATAAAATCCTATAAAATATGACATAAAAACAAAAGAAAAATGGCAATAGATCGACACAGCAGGGTACCGACAGTACTGTGAATCATACATTAAACCCGTCCCGAAAAGAGCAGCATTCGTTACTTAACACATTTAGGTAAATAACTTTTTAGTTAAACGGTTTTTTATCTTATGTGCACTTAGAAATAATAATAACAATTAGGTATTTTGAACTTCTAGTTCAGAAATATTTTACTTAGGCAGAAGAATATTAGGCATATTAGACTAAAATAAAAACGTGGGGCCCATTAATTATTGCTGTAATACTTTCTTCTATACTAAGTGTGGATTGCATCGACTTACTATAATCGTAACTGGAGATTTTGACAATCAATAACCAGCCGTGGCGGCTTCATCAGCGAACGCCGAGCTCATATACCAAAGTATAAAGATATGCTTTGCCATAGGTAGGATTTCAGAGGGGCCCCACGTTTTTATTTTAGTCTAATATGCCTAAAAGTATTCTGCCTAGTACTAAAATATTTTCTGAACTAGAAGTTCAAAACAACTAATTGTTATTATTATTTTCTAGTTTTCAGTGCACATAAGATAAAACCGTTTAACTTAAAAGTTTTTTACCGATTTTTTATTTTCTAGTTTTTAGTATTTAACGGAAATGCCTACCGAATATTCCTCATTCTATTTAATTCATTTAGTGCATCATTGTTACATGGTTTTTTACCTGATAATTTATTACAATCTAATTCCTCAACACATAGCCCTTCCAGAGACTTGACTCGACTTAGAGCCACGTATGCTTGCCCTTCCTCAAACAATTTTGAGCCCAAATACACTACTGCATGGTCGACTGTGCTGCCCTGCATTTTATAGACGGTGGATGCCCATGACAAAATTAAGGGTAACATCCTTCTTTCAGCCGTACCATAATTGAATTTTGCTGGAAACTGTATGGCTTTCGGGTGTATAACGTGCATGCCGTCTCTGCCAAAGTCAATCCAAACTGATGGTACATCTGTTTCGTACATTTGGTTCGACCGAACTGAGGCCAAACAATTTCTGTAATGTAGCCTATAGCACCATTTACCAATCCTTCTGTAACGTCAATGTTGGACCGCAACATTTTCACAAATCCATCACCTATTTTTTTTATCTATCCTAACGTCACACAATCTTGGACACAACTGTTCTGGACACGACTACTCATGCCCTCACTTAATACGCCATTTTGTAACGACGTCCATCTTGGATTTTAAATTTTGTCATAATCACAGTATTCTACTAGTGTAGCCCTTTCATTTGATACCCATATTGAGGGGGTTGTGGAAAAATATGAAATCCGCCATTTTGTACCGGCGGCCATCTTAGATTTACAATGTTATTGATATTACTATATTGTATTGTCATCGGAACAAAAGGTGTGTACCAAATTTCAGATCAATCTGACAACAGGAAGGTACTTAAATTTCAATTTCTAATTTTGACCCAAACAAATAAATAAATACCGTACGGGTCGAGCTAAATAAAACCGTTTAAAAACTGTTACTTTCTATCTTTTACTATACATATACAGCCTATAGTATTTTGTACCTGTTATTTCGTTGAAACTGTAGATCTATCTACATACTGTAGATCTACTACGTAACTTACAGAGTTGATCCACACTGCCAGAGATAGGGAAGCAATGGAAAGTGTGGTCGCAAACATCCATTAATGGATAAGCAGAGAAAGAAGAAGTAGATCTAAAAATGTGTTGCAGATTGCAGATGTTACAAAAACTTAAAAACTTAACAACTGATTATTATTAACTCTTTTTAACTGTAAAGTTATATAGGTACATACACAGACAATAATATACCTTGTACAATATTTAAATATTAAAATCGCAATCGTAGGTTACAGTGGCAGCGATTTAAAATCGCAATTGTAGTTTTAATTACGGTTGGAGAATCGCTGTTTTGTTCATCTCTAGTATTTAAAATTTTATTAGAAAAAATAATACAAAAAATACACCAAAACGCTTTACTTGCTCATTAGTAGATGACTAATACCGTTGATTGAAAGAATTGGGAAGATACGCAGTCTGAAGGGCAAATTCGTGACAAGGCTGATTCGATTTCCCCTTATGTCTCAAGTGCTGTACGGTGGAGCCTCTAATGGTTCTGCGGCCAAGGCATAAAACACTCATTTTCTCTAATTCGGCTAGCGAAGGCATATCGAAGACGGTTAGCAACTGAAAGCGACAGTGTTGCCATATTAAAATATGGAATATCTAATACGTTTGGCGAAAATATCTTTAGATGAAAAATCCGCGTTTATGTATTGAAAATTTATTCGTGTTAAACATAGAATAAAGAACAAAAATAAACATTCTTTTATAGATAGTGAATATTTCGTATGATCGAAAAAAGTCGTTTAGTTGGCTTGGAAATGACGACTATTGACATTTACCATAATATTTTACGTATAAAAAACAGCGATCTTCATTTCCAAGCCAACTCTGACGCCCTTCTTTATTTAATTATATTATAATATTATATTAAATTGTTTAGTGATCAGTATTATTGATGTACTGTACCCAAAAACCGTAAATCTACGGACTAATTCTAAGTTCTGGCAATACTGTCTCCAGCAACCACCCACTCTGTCGACTGAAAGCAGGACTACGGTACAGTATTGTTTACCCCAATGACTAAAGAATACAAGGACATATAACACCCGAGACCAAATTGTTACCATAGCTCAAAACAGTGCGGTGGCCACATATTTTTCTTAACGTAGCTGCTTAAAGAGATATTTATATTTTTGATTTTTGATGATAAATGTTTTGACTACGCCTATGGTGTATGCGGTGGTATCATACTAATTAATTATGAAAAAAAACGTATTAAAATGTTGTCTACTAATTAAATATGAAAAAAACGTATTAAAACTAGTCTCGATAGAACATAAAGACTAGTGTCGATGTAGGGCACATATCAAGTACATATAATATCAGGAAAAATCAATCAAATTCAATAAGAAAACCCTAAAAAGTTGGATGGAGTAGACTGTTTATTTACCTATGAAACGTAACTCCTGGCTCTTTCTTATCGTTGCGGCTTTTGCACTTGAAAGCTGAACACATCACCACTGTAATAAACTTTATACAAAGTTCACTACACACAACAAACTTTTAAAAATTGCTAAAATTGTCGCTGTTGCCGAGCTGGTGACTCATTTGTAGGCTCCAAAATGATGGCGTTTAATGTCACAAATTCTGCTGTAGCTCATAATATATGGGCGTTACGCGTCCTTGTATTCTTTAATCATCAGCGCGTAGCGGCGCAGAGGTAAACTAAATCTCGGACAGGTTTTGTGCTACGAAACCCCTCATAAGATTGCGTATCTTCTTATTTCTGCACTCAACGCTAGAACTAAAAAAAGTGTGTGTAATAATCTCTGAAGTTGATTTTTGTAATTTTTTATTACTCATGCGGGGAAAGTAGTATCTTTTCGCATTCTTTTGGAGTCGAAAAGACGCTAATTGCCCACTTCACAATTACCATATTAGTTTTGAGCAAATTTAATATCGATTTGAGTGCGACAAGTAAACTTCTCGCATCCAAATTTTCATTGGCACACGCAAATTGACAAGCAAAAAAGACAGTCTCGAAGTGTCAATATTTAAATATTTTTTATTTTTTTGTTTATTTTATTACGTTGCTTTTTAATATGTCTCTTTTATTATATTTCATCATGGAAACAAATTATTAAACACCATTATGATGAAACAATGTTAAAATTCCTTCATTTTCTACTCTAAAATTCGATTTAAAAATTTGAAGTTTTTAATGTCATCTTTTGCATTCATCTATGGGGTGTTCCAAAAGTATCTTTTGCTTTTTAATAAGTCTCTTTTGTTTACCATGATGAAATATAACAAAAGACACATATTAAAAAGCAACGTAATAGAAAATAGTATGTGCAACTCATGCCAAGTTGTCGATTGCCCACTCGAGCGAATGAGCGCACTCGGTTCGCTTGTGCGCTCAACTTCGCTCTCGTGGGCAATCGACAACTTTTCGCACTAGTTGCACAATATACTATTCTCTAGCACCAAATGTTCATTAGATTCCACAATTTATTTGATTTGTGACTTTTCTATTGTTATTAAATAGTATTTGTATGTATATGATGCTTTTTTAATATCATATCTACATCTGTCTTCATTCTAATAAATATTTTGAACATTTTTGAATTTATTACTGCATATTTTATGTACTTCGATTAATATGTTTACCAAATTTTAGAGTAAAATTAGTATGTGAACCCGAAATTGAGATTTGGGAATCCGTCAAAAAGAAATCGGATTATCGAGAATGTAGCCGTTGCGGAGAAATAGTGGCGATTGCTAAGATGAGAAGTCACCTGCGAACTCACAAGGAAAGGAAATACAAGTGTCACACGTGCTCGAAAGGTTTTAAAGGAAAAGAGGTGCTACAGAGACACATCCAGCACGTCCACGAGAAAGTATACGAGACGAAAATGTGCGAGTTGTGCGGTAAAGTACTCTCAGTAACCGGCTATTACACCCACAAGAAACTCATGCACAATATAAGTAACACCGAATTAAACCGATACTTTTGCGACATATGTGGCAG